GGCCACCGCCCCCCCCCCGGCGCCCCCGCCCCGCCCCGCCTGCAGGGGCAGGGCCAGAAGTGGAGCGGGGCCCGGCCGGGTCGCTTGTTCCCAGCTCCTTTCTCAAAGCTCATCTAGACGCAATGAAAGACTGTTATGAATGAATTGCGCCTCCTAAAGAGAGAGAGAGAGGGTTTCATTAGCTAGGCACATGTGCTAGTGAATATGTAAAATGCCTAATGACCCTAACTGAAGGGCAGATTAAGATGGGGCGTTGTAAGGAATCAGGAACCGGGAATAAAGCGTAGGGGGCTGGGAAGACGCGACCGGCCTCATCGCTGCACAGCCCAAGGTGCCGCGGGGCAGTGCAGGCAGCAGAGGGCCCTGGGCCAGGGGTGTACAGGCCTCCGCACCTGGGGCTGGAGCTGTGCGCAGGGCCGAGCCCTCTCAGAGGTCACTGCTGTCACCAACTGCACGGAGCCTGGATGTGGCACATCTGTGTCGCACCTGAGGCAATGGAGAAGCTGATGCCCTGACCCCAATTCCTGCAGTCTGCTTGGGGCTCCCCCAGTGACCCTGGCGCTCTCTGTGTTAGGGTGAAGGAGGCAGCACCACAACCAAGGGCTGTGTCAGGCTGCTTAGCACCCTGGGGCTGGCAGACTTCTGGTTTTGCGACAGGACAGGTGCATTATTGCTCCTGATCCCATCCTGGTTGCACTGCTGGTCAGATACTGGTCCATGCCTGAGCCGTGTCTCTGCTCCCTTACTGCTGGAGTGTCACGGCTGCTGTCCAGAGACCCTAAAGACATAAGTGGGGGAGGGATGGGGGAAACAGAGGGTCTTGAACCCACAGCTTTTCCTGAGTTGGGACTGGTCTCTGCTCTGGGTAAGAGGTGGGTGCTTGGTGCTGCAGCCATGGCTAGGATCTAGCTTGGATGGATGTGGACTTTGTATGTGAGGGTGAGGCCGAGATCTGTGTGCCCATGGTTAGAAATGTAGAGTGAGGCTTGGTGGGAAAGCTCACAGCATTGCTGAGTCACTGGAGATTTTCCTAAGAAAGTCCAGGGGTCTCTCACTTGGGATCAGAGCTTCATAATGCCGAGGACTAGAGGTACAATAGAGAGGGGGGAGCTTTCTTTGTATCTGTGCACTTCTGGTTTATTTTTGTGCTTCAGCAGATGGGAAACTCAGCTCTTTCTCCTCCAGTGTTAAATGCAAGAAGGTCTCTTACCCTCAAACTCTCCTTAGACAATTCAAGTGAAGAATGTGTTTGGATCACAGGACTAAGTTAAAGAGTAAGGCTGTCCCATTGCAAAAGTAAGCAATAGGACCTGATAGTCCAAGTAATGGGCTCCATTATAAATGCTGCACTTGATCTGCACCAAAGGCCAAACCTAATTTATGCAGTATAAGTAAGGGACAGGTTGGGATTTTTCATCAAAAAACTCCTTCGAGAAGGAAAAACTTGAAGGAAAATGAGATTCATTTAGTGAATCACTTAATGACATTGTAATGCATGGTGACTGCTAAAATGCTGGGGTGCACAATAATAATTGGCTTTTAATTACAAACTGCAGAGCATACAACTGTATGGCAACCCTCTTAAATCACAGAGGATAGGTTTTGTACCAAACCACAGAAGGGACAGATGTGTATTTCAAACACCATAGACAGGTAGTTCAGTTATCATATGAGACTCCTACACAGCTTCTGATTCATCTCAGCATGAAGGCAATCCAAAGGAAATGGCTCGTTTCACCCAGCCAGCTCCACATCACACTAGCTCATGGCACAGGCTGTGGCATGCTTAGGGAATAGGCAAGTCATGTTTCCCATTTCTCAATTCACCCTCTAGGAACAGGTGATAGTCACATCCCAGCTTCAGATCCCTGCATAACACCCTCTGCAGAGTCAAACTGGATCAGGACATTATCCTGTTAAATCTTCATAGCTTTACAGCTGTTTCAGGGCTTTGTTCCTTAATGGGAGCCTCCACCATACCTCAATTAACTCAGTGAAGTCACACCCAGGGTGAATTTGGTCAAAAATTCTAATGCTCGATTAATTTCTGTCTCCTCTCCATTTGCTCTGTGCTCCTTGTTTAAATGAACCATTACCTGCACTAAAAGTAATGAAGAGCCCACTGCAACTGCAGAAACTCCTCTCCTGTCAATAAGGGGATTGTGGCATTTTGATGACAGCATGTCTCAGTTAGGAGGGTAGCTGTATCTCCAGAAACACTGCCAGGGCTAGCTTGTCACTCAGATTACTGATTTACTTAGAATTTATGCTATATAGGTGTAAGTTGCCACCATTTCTAGAGTGTTGACCTGTATAAGCCTGCGCTCAGGTAGCTAGCACCCCAAGGAAGGAAACAACATAAAAAAATGCTGGGAGGCTGAGGAAGGAGTGTGAATAAGAGGCTGGTAGAGAAACTGGCACACCATCCAATGCACAAAATAGCCTTAATTTCACTGCCTCATCTCCCACCTCAAAAGTAGAAGGGTTAACTAGAGTCTAAATTTTGTTTAGTTCTAGTCAGGCTCAGGCTTTGAGATGAAGGATGTCAATCAGAAGCCATGCCACGGTGGGGTGTATACTTGCTTCTCAGCTGAGGGAAATTTGTGCTCATTTTCAATAAACAGATTCCCAACCCTTTGCTGCTTGACTGCTGATTCCCCAGATGACAGCTGCAGCAAACTCTTCCTATGGGATGTAAGATGCCGCTCAGTCTTCACTACATGGACTCGACTGCTAGACTCGCATTGCCACGTTTTGAAAAATAATGACAAAGTTAATTCACAGGCTCACTGCTTCCC